TGTTATGTTATAGTGTATCTGCGAAATATACTATGTGTGCCAAATCATAGTATTTATGCTAAAACATAGTATTTCTGCCATATTGTGGTATTTGTGCAAGAACATTGAACTGTTATGTTATAGTATTACTACTAAGTCATAGTATTTCTGCGTTGTTATAGTATTTGTGCTAAAACTTAGTATCTCTGCCAAGTCATAGAATTAATGCAATTTCATAGTTTTTTTTTAGGAAATCTGTTATGTTATAGTATTACTACTAAGTCATAGTATTTCTGCCAAATCATAGTATTTGTGCCAAAGCATCGTATTTGTATGGAGTCATAGTATTTCAATCAAATCTCAGTAGTTGTTGTTAAAACGCAGTATTATTGCCAAATCATAGTATTTGTACCCAATCTTAGTATTTCTGCTAAATCATAGCATTTGTTCCAAATCATGGTATTTGTGCAGAAAACTTGGTTTGTCTGCAAAACCATAGTATATATCTTATGTTATAGTATTACTACTAAGGCATAGTACTTGTGCCAAATCATAGTATTTGTACTAAATCATAGTACTTGTGCCAAATCATAGTATTTGTTGCACATCATAGTATTGGAACCAAAACATAGTATTTGTCCCAAAGCATCGTATTTGTATGGAGTCATAGTATTTCTTCTAAATCATAGTATTTCAATCAAATCTCAGTAGTTGTGTTAAAATGCAGTATTATTGCCAAATCATAGTATTTGTACCCAATCATAGTATTTTTGCCAAATCGTGGTATTTGTGCCCAATTAATAATTCTGTTATGTTATAGTATTACTACTAAGTCGTAGAATATCTGTTATGTTATAGTGTATCTGCGGAATATAGTATGTGTGCCAAATCGTAGTATTTATACCAAATCACAGTATTTTTGCTAAAACATAGTATTTCTGCCATATTGTGGTATTTGTGCAAGAACATTGAACTGTTATGTTATAGTATTACTACTAAGTCATAGTATTTCTGCGTTGTTATAGTATTTGTGCTAAAACGTAGTATCTCTGCCAAGTCATAGAATTACTGCAATTTCATAGTTTTTTTAGGAAATCTGTTATGTTATAGTATTACTACTAAGTCATAGTATTTCTGCCAAATCATAGTATTTGTGCCAAAGCATCGTATTTGTATGGAGTTATAGTATTTCAATCAAATCTCAGTAGTTGTTGTTAAAACGCAGTATTATTGCCAAATCATAGTATTTGTACCCAATCTTAGTATTTCTGCTAAATCATAGCATTTGTCCCAAAGCATCGTATTTGTATGGAGTAATAGTATTTCTTCAAAATCATAGTATTTCAATCAAATCTCAGTAGTTGTGTTAAAATGCAGTATTATTGCCAAATCATAGTATTTGTACCCAATCATAGTATTTTTGCCAAATTGTGGTATTTGTGCCCAATTAATAATTCTGTTATGTTATAGTATTACTACTAAGTCGTAGAATATCTGTTATGTTATAGTGTATCTGCGGAATATAGTATGTGTGCCAAATCGTAGTATTTATACCAAATCACAGTATTCATGCTAAAACATAGTATTTCTGCCATATTGTGGTATTTGTGCAAGAACATTGAACTGTTATGTTATAGTATTACTACTAAGTCATAGTATTTCTGCCAAATCATAGTATTTGTGTGAATTTGTATACTGTAATATCACTGTAGTATGTAGTGGCTAAGTAGGGGGTGTTTACAGTGTAAATAGGTCATCTCTTGTGTTGGAGTGCCCTCTTGTGGCGCCTTTTGGGTAGTGCCTTAGTAAACGTGAACCCTGTAAGAAGTGGTATCAGACTGATTTGTAGTGGAGGAATTTGTTGCCAGTTTTCTTAATCATAGAAACCACACCATATCACCTCTCCACATCCTCCTACTGTATGCCATGCCTCCCTGTACCATCCATCTGACCGCCAATAAACTCCACCTGTGGTAATCTAATCCCTGGATGTCAGCCTCTCCTTCTGACCGAGGATAGTTACTATTGCAGCACCACCCAGCATTAAACTGACGTACACCATTCTGTACAATAGTATTTGTGCTAAAAAGTAGTATTTCTGTCAAATCATAGTATTACTGCTATTTCATACTATTTAAGCGAAATTACAGTGTTTCTGCAAAAACATGTTTGAGGGGTGGAAATCTGTCCTCCTCTCATTTTTCAAACTCTGAAAATTAAGCCATTTCTTCTCTCGTCATGTCTCCGCGACGGAGATATAAAGAGCTATGTAAATCGCAGGCAAAGTACACCAAAGTCCGCTGATTCACCCAGTGCAAGAATTATGCTTCTATCCCACCTAGTTTTTGAGTACAAATTTATACACTCTCACAGACCGGTAATTCATATTGATAATTTATTACAATTCTGCAAAGTTTTATGATTTTAGCAGCTTTTCTAATATGGACCTCAGATTCTTGTTAACAGTCTATGGCAGAAATACATACAAGTACACAGCCTGATGAAGCAGACACAAGCAGTACCTCTGATTGGTTCAGCATTTTCACCTCTTATTAGCACAAATCTCAGCCTCTTCTGCTGTTTTCATTAGAATTTTAAGCTTTTCCACCTTTTTTCAGTTACGTGAGAACCAGTTTGGCTCAATGAGTAGCTGAAAAATATCAGCCTCTTCTGCTGTTTTAGCAGGATTTCAGAGTTCAGCTTTTTCACTTGTTTTAAGCACAAATTTCAGTTTCTTTACCTCATTTCACAACAAAGTTTTTCCTCTTCACCTCTTTTCTGCTAATTTGAGCTTCTGCTCCACAGTGCACATTTTCCCTCTCATCATATCTTTGCTTGTGACCAGAACTCATTTGAGATCCTGTTTCTCTTTAAACTTTATTCTTATAGTTGCTCCGCGTTTTTCGGCACTTAACTACTCCCTCAGTTTTCAGCCGATTTTCTCAGTTCAAACTCTAAACTGTTCTGCTCTTTTTGGAGATGGGTGCTATATCTTTTGGTAGTTATAGCTATTATACTTTTTAAAATATTACACTTTTGGCAACATTTCTTTCAGTTAACACTTACATTTCTTTAACTCTTTTCAACACAATTTTATGCTTTTTCACCCCTTTTCAGCACATTTTTCAGTTTTTTCACCACTTTTCAGCACAATTACCAGCTTTTTCAGCTGTTTTCATCAAAAACCTATTTTCAGCAGAATTCTGCTCATTCAACTCTTTTCAGCAGAAATTTTGCTAATTGAACTCTTTTCAGCAGAAATTCTGCTGATTCACCTCTTTTCTGAAAAATTTTCAGCCTTTTCAACTCTTATCAGCAGATTTCTCAGCCGCTTCTGCTCATTTTAGCACAATTGTCAGTCTCTCCACCTCTTCTTTGCGGGAATCAGTTTGGCTAAGTGAAATGAATAGCTGCCTACAAATCAGAAGGGTCAGGTTCGAATCCTGCTCAGGGTATCATTTTTTTTTTCAACTTTTTCAGCTTTTTTCAGCAGACATCTTCAGCGTTAAGGCATGCACCCAGCATTTTCGCAGGAAATGCAACTTTTTCTAGTCTTTTCTTCATCTTCAAGTTGCTTCCGTACGTTTTTCGGCGCTTAACTACTCCTTCAGTTTTCAGCCGATTTTCTCAGTTCAAATCTTGAAAAATTCTGCTCTTTCTGCTCTTTCCAGCTATGACTTTTGGTGCTCATAACTTCTATACTTTTTGAGATATTGATTTTTCTTTTCAATATTTTTTGCCCGTTTTTGCAAATTATCAGTGGCCTCACTGATTTTCCTTGCCGGGTTGAGCTGTGTTTTAGCTCAGTGAGATGAGCATCCGTTCTCGGACTGGGAGGCCCGGGTTCAAATCTGGCTTAAGGCAACATTTCTTTCAGTTAACACTTAAACTTTTTTAACTCTTTTCAACACAAATTTAAGCTTTTTCACCCCTTTTCAGCACGTTTTTCAGTTTTTTCACCACTTTTCAGCACAAATACCAGCTTTTTCAGCTGTTTTCAGCAAAAACCTCTTTTCAGCAGAATTCTGCTCATTCAACTCTTTTCAGCAGAAATTCTGCTGATTAAACTCTTTTCAGCAGAAATTCTGCTGATTCACCTCTTTTCTTAAAATTTTTCAGCCTTTTCACCTCTTATCAGCAGAATTCTCAGCCGCTTCTGCTCATTTTAGCACAATTGTCAGTCTCTCCACCTCTTCTTTGCGGGAAAGAGCTTGGTGCAGTGACATGAGAACCTGCCTTGAGTACCAGAAGGGCCAGGTTCAAATCCTGCTCAGGGCAGCATTTTTTGGGGTTTTTTTTTTTCAACTTTTTCAGCTTTTTTCAGCAGATATCTTCAGCCCTTAAGGCATCCACACAGCATTTTCGCAGGAAATGCAAATTTTTCTAGTTATTATGTGTGTTTCAGTTAAATTTAACAAGCTTCCCAAATATTTAAGAAATTACAGGATTTCAGCAACAACAACAACAACAACAACAAAAAAAACATGCATCAGCATTTGCAGTGCTTTTTTCAGGAAATGCATTCCATAGTTTTTTTTTTTTTTGTTTTGTTTTTATCCAAACAGTTTTGATACTGGGTCACAAATCTGTCCAGACAGAAAATATACGAGGTGGGTTTGGAGTGTGGTGTATTAGTAGACTAGACTAGAGTGCAATCAAATACACCTGCCTTCAATGAACCCAGCCCAATCACAGCAACTGGTCCCAATTATGACCCCAAATACTACAAACTGGTCATTATCTGTGAGATTACACTTCTGTCCTTGCTGTCCTTTCTTGACATAGAAATTCTACACATCCAGAGATTAACATCCAGAAAAGTTTAAGATGGAAAGATTTAATAAAGTCCATTTACATGTCTACTTTCTAAGTTCATTTTCTGGGTTGTTTTTTGTTGGAGGGGGGAGGGGGGTTCCCATCAAACCTGAAAAAAAATCTGCTTGATTGAAATGAAGAATGAGGGACCAATTAGAAAACGATGTCTTTCCCCACGCCCTCTGAACGCCTCAAGAGCTACTCCTTAAGTCCAATTTAGCACACAGAGCTTCCTGCAGCTTGATCGCAAGCAGATAAATTGAAGCCAGTTTTCATACACGGCTGCAAAGCTGGTGGACTGGAAGACGCTGATGATGTTCAGCTTTTCCTTTTATCCTGCTTAATGCTACCTGCATCACATCTTTCCAGAGGAGAACCACGGGAGCTCAGGAGACAGGAACCCAAGTACTACAATGCTGCTGCTACTGCCAGAACCAAGGAAGAGCTCCCATCTCACAGCTCTGAGCAGCAAACCATGGACGGCCAGTTTCACTACCAGGACTCAGCCAGTGTATACAAAGGAAAGCCAGGCCAAGCTGTCTGCCAGTGGCTCATCATAGTATGTATGCATGTTCATTTTTTATTTACACAGCGCCAAATCACAATAACAGTCACTTCACGGTGCTTTATATTATAAGGAAGACTTTTTTTTTTCTTTGGTAATATGAACTAATATTAGCAGAGTTAGCTAACCTATTACCTGCTACAAAAATACCCTCTGTGTTGTAAGGCCATGTTTCAGTAGTTCTCCCAGAAGTACTTTCCAGACTAGAAAAGGGGGTCTATCCCTGTTTCCAATTATACCACCACTGTTTTGGTTTTGTTTTGTTTTTTTCCCCCCAAATGGCGACACTTGGTGGCAAAGTCTTAAAGCGTGCCACCAGAATAAAACCTTAAAGCTCTGAGGTTTACTTTTGTATTTTCTGATCTAAAATCACTCATGCCAACACACATCAGTAACCATGCTGACCCATGTGGACCATATAGACTTGTGCTTACTTGGCCTGTGTCTTCCTATCCTCACAGACTTGTGGAGTTCTGGCAGCAGCCTTGAAGGTAGTCTCCCCCTGGCATACCTCACTATGTGGGCTGAGAGAGCTCTTGATTAGGAGATGAGGAACAACATCTTTGAGACTGCTGAACTGTTTCCAGCTCTGTGCGAAGGAAGGAGGACCACAGCAAAAATGCCACTTTGCATGGTGTACAGAGGACTAGCGCTATGGAAAGCCATTGCAAAGGTTTTCCAGTTACAAAGGCACACAGACTCTGTACTGACAAGCCAGAGGTGTGGTAAATTAATATAAAATGCATTAAATTACCTGAGAATATCGAAATGTTAACCCTGCGACAGACTGGCGACCTGTCCAGGGTGTACCCCGCCTCTCGCCCTATGACAGCTGGGATAGGCCACATCACACATGGCACTAATGATCACAGATGGTATCGAAACTTGACTGTGCGCTGAGGTGGCAACCCCTAACCCTACGCAAGTAAATTAAAGTAAATGTATTTGGAAAAATGTACTTCTAAAAGTTGTTTTAATGCACCATGTTCATTTACTCATGAGCTGCTGTAACATGAATCAAACCTTAGTCAGATAATTTCAAATTCAAAGGTTGTGCGTTTGCTGATGTCTGAGCTGACAATGCTTTTGTGTCGTTTGTCACACAGTGTGTTGCAAGCGGATGTCCAGCTGTTATGTTACAGATTTAAAGGTAGATTTGAAGTGCTCAGTGACGCTTGATAAACTGCAAATTTAAAGCTTAAATATGATGTCAGTTTTAATCACATATTGGGTCTACGTTCAGGAGTTGCACTTCAGTTCCATCCTGCAGTACATCGGCCTTCACTTGCTGGAGCTGAAGTGAAGGCCGATGGGATGACGCCCTGATCCAGTTCATGTGTGATGAGAAACAGCTCAAGTGAACTAAGTGAAGCATTGACTTTTTTTCCTGTTCTTTTCCTCATTTTATCTGCCCACTGAGTTTTCATGCCATGAGGACGAAGATGATCTGTTGTTGCTGTGACTTCAACTACACACACTTCTTGTTTAATGTTTGACCACTAGGCTGGACTGTTGAGTATGTACATGAAGTGTTTCTGGAACCTTTTGAATTCAATGGTTAATCATCTGTCACACAAAACCTCTGCATGTCCTCCTTCACTACATCAATGAACCTCTCTGGTTTTCATTCTTTCTGTCCTGGCTGGCAGTCCCACTCTTTTAAAAAAATAAAAAACATAAAATTTGTATAAACCTGCAAGAAGAACACACTGTACATCAAATATCTTTTTATTTTATTTTGCTTGTTAAATGTGAGAATGAGGATGCTAATTGTTCAAGTGTAGCTTTGATTTTGTGTGTGTGTATGTGTGTGTGTGCAGTGAGGACATTGCTGCGACTTTGACCACACACACTTGTTATATAATGTTGGACCAGTAGGTGTCACTGTTGTCCATGTACATGGAGTGTTTCTGGCGTCTGGAGAAAATCAGAAAGATTAATGAACTTTTTAACACTTTATTAAAAAATATTATTGATCTTCACATAGACACATGAAGCAGTATTTCATTCTACCAAAGTCCTCATTTTTTTAGAAGAAAAATCATTGGTGATTCATGCATGTCTGACTTCAAAACAGGCGTGCATGTGTGATTGTGTCATCTGGGGCAGGGATAGCTCAGTAGGTAAAGTGGTTGCCCCATAATTCACTTGGTGAGTAATTGGCCTACGGGGATCAATAAAGTATACATTATTGTTATTACTACACAATTCCTCTAATTAGTCCACCCTTTTTCCTCCTCAAGTTTGCCTCTATCATGCGCTGGTTGTAGAATTTCTTCGAGTGCGGGCTGGCTCTCACTTGTATTCTAGAAACATAAAAATAAAAACACTGTTTGGATAGTACTGCCATCTTTACCACCTCTTTCATTTTTGATGGGTCATGGTAAATCACCTTATCAAGAGCATTCTCAGCCCATGTAGTAAGGTCTACCAGGGGACAACTCCCTTTAAGGCTGCTGCCAGAATTCTAAGACTAAAAGGCAAAACTGGTTTAAGTATTTCTGCTGGAGCAGGTAGTTTGTTGCAGAGGCTGCAGAGATTCTGTTTAAACTATAATGTTTTGCAACATAACCAACCATGCTGATGTCAGCTCAGTGTGAGTGGAAGACATAGGCATGATAATCAGTGATGTATTCATAAACTGCAAAAGGATGTACCTGTTCCAATTCACTTCCTTGTAAACCTCCCTGTTACAGCCCTAGCTGGGCCTCCTGAAACTGCCCTTGTGTGGGCGTGGTGTCTTTCTCCACCTCCTCCTCTCTTGCCTCTGTTTCTCTCACTCTCCTCTCTCCCCAGGACACAGCTGCTCTTGGTTAGCCTTGTTTGCCACCTGAATCCAGTCAGCAATCACCTCTGAGGCTATTTAAGCTGGGGATGAGCTCTGAGCAAGGGAGTTTTCTCTGGTGTCTCTGCTTTGTGTGAAGGTCCTGCCTATAGTGTGTAAGCAGTATGCCTGCTTTACGTGAGTAGTGTGGGCTTGTGGGCCTTGGTGGCAGTAAAGCTAGCTGCTGCTAGTGACAGGGTGAGCTTGTGGGCCCCTGGAAGTGCCTCCTCGTGGTGTGGAGTTTTTGTTTGGTTGTGTTCTGTGTTGTTGCAACCTTTTTCCCTTTTTCCAAGTGTTATTGGTAAAAAGGCCTTGCCAGCTCTTTATGTTAAGATTATCTATAATAAAGACTATTTTATTTACTAAAAACACCTGTCTGTTTTCCTTTCATTCTGTTCTGGACTCATTTGTTACTGGTCCCCTCACTCGTATGCCTAGACCCCTTCGGGGGGGACGTAACAATGTGGGGGCTCGTCCGGAATATGAATGGAAGGAACAGCAATTGAGTATTAGTGAGTTGTTTGCTGGTGGCCTGTTTAGTTGTATGGTATCTACTACGCTCTCTCTCCAGTTAGCAAAGGGGAGTGTCTAGCTGAGCGTAAGCTCCTCCTTCAGGCACTCATTTTTTATTTTGCCTTTTTTATTTTCGGAGTAATCCCGGGTGGGGATTAGTTCCCTGTCGGGGGCAGGCTTGTCGGTGCTTTGTGCACTTGATGCTTAGCCTTTAAAGTTGCCTCGAGCCTGGTACACTCCAGAAGCTAACTAGGCTAAGATTTTAGTAGGTAGGTCTGGGGAGAGGGTCGGTGGTATTTTTATTTATTGGTTAACCTGTGGCCAAACATTTCCCACCTGTTTTTCATTTGTGTATTGGAGGTGGTGCTTCTTTGTTGTTACTGTTAGCCTCAGGTAGTTTTAGTTTCAGTTTTAATGGCTACCTTTGAAATTGCCGTGTTTAAGGAAAACCCTTCGCTTGTCCAGCTGGACGCCTGTAGGAAGATGGATTTGCATGAGGTTGCATCATTTTATGGCATTTCTGTCTCCACGGCTCTACGTAAGGCTGAGCTGAAAGCTGCTCTTGTGTCTGGCTTGGTGGAGAAAGGATAGTGGCCCTGCCAGTGTCTGCCAGTCCACTTGAGCATGGTGTAGCGTCTCAGCCTGTTCCGCAGGTGCCAGCTCAAGCTGTAGCTCCATCAGTGTCTACACCTGTTGCTCAGTGGCTGCCTGAGGACGAGCCAATGACACTGCCTCACTTTGAACCACTCTCCATAGAGTCATCCGTAGGTTCAAAGCACGATGCTATGCTACATGTCCGCCTGGCTTGTCTTCAGTTGGAAAAGGAGGATCATGAGAGGCAGTTCCAGCTAAAGGAGTTGGAGCTTAAGCTTTTAGACGCAGAGCTTGCCAGAGCCAAGGAGGTTGAATTGAAAAAGGTGGACACAGCTGTTAAGTTGCAACAGTTGGAACTCCAGCAGGCTTCCCTTCCTCCGACTGCCTCCATTCGGCAGGCAGACACACCATTTGATGTGGGGGAAAAACATTTGTCTGGTTCCAGTGTTTCATGACATCGAGGTTGACAGTTATTTTGAGTCCTTTGAGCATATAGCTGCAGCCTTGCACTGGCCACGGGATTCTTGGGCTATTTTGCTACGATGTAAGCTGGTAGGTAAGGCTCAGGAAGTTTGTTCCTCATTGTCAGCTCAGGACAGTCTGAATTATGACAAGCTGAAAAGTGCCATCCTGCTATCTTATGAGCTAGTCTCAGAAGCTTATAGCCAGCGTTTCCGGGGATTAAAAAGGGGACAGGATCAATCCTACCGAGATTTTGCAAGGAAGAAAAGTGTGCTTTTTGATCGGTGGTGTGTGTCCAGCAAAGCTACTGACCTGGCGTTGATGCGTGAATTAATGTTGGTGGAGGAATTTAAGAACCGTATCTCTAAGCAGATTGCAGTATACCTCAGTGAACAGGTTTCCTCATTACAGCAGGCTGCAGCACTGGCTGATGAGTTTGCCCTCACCCATAAAACTAGTGTTATTGAGCACAACCGACGCGATGCCTCAGTGAAGGTTAGCAATGTGCCAGCTGTGCAGTACCCAAGGAGCGAGGTACCTGTGTCCCGTCCCAAGGCAAAACCAAAGTGTTTTTCTGTTTCAAGTAGCAAATTGTAAGACCTACAAACAGAAACAGTCAGTCTAAAGGGCTAGGAGTGTACGAGCTAGCAAAGCTGATACAGGTGTGGTTTCAAGAGCCAAAACACAGCTCTGTTTCTTCTGCCACATACCTGGCCACCTGGTTGCTAACTGTTTGAATGCCCACTCAAAGCAAAAAGGCTCTGCTTTGAAAGGAGTCAATCATGGTTCACAAACGGACAAAGTTGCCAGTCCGAGACGACAATTGGAGCATAATTGCTCGGTGGTGTCATTTGGTCCCTGTCAGAAATCGACTAATTGTGATCCGCCACCTGTTGACAGTCTTTCAGGTCCAGATGACCTACAGTGTGACAGATTGGGTGTGATACAACCATTCCAACCTGCACCTCTGGCTAACCAGCATGCCTGTCGCCATGACCTAGCAAAGAAGCGCCTGAAAAGTGTTTCAGTAAGGCCTTCTAGCTATCCGCTGGGTTCTCCATATGTGATGGCTCAAAAAACATCTGGCTGTCACTTGGGACACTATGTTGAGGAGTTCTGCACTGTTCTGGACTAATTTGTTACTGGTCCCCTCACTCGCATGCCTAGACCCCTTTGGGGGGGACGTAACACTCCCTCACCCCAACTCTCTGCTCTGATCTAAATCCAGTGGTCATAGAGCACTTTTGGTGAGGTGAGGACATGCTTCTCCTTATGAGGTGCTAACAAACAGCATCAGCCGTGGAAGCAGTGTCTGGTGGGAAAGCCCACACCAGAAATGTATATGCTGGGTGGAATAGTCAAATGCCCGGCTAAGTCAGGACAGACAAAGCAGAGCCACAGGGGAAAATTTTTAACCATATCCATTTATTAATCCTGAGAAAACAGATCTAAAGAAAACTAGGTGCTAACTTTAACCAACATTGCAAGTTGGGTTAAGCACAAACAGGCCCACCAGTCAGGCTGAGGTGCTGATTAACAATACATATCAGAGCAACAATCAGGATATCAAAATCTTGTTTCTGCTCTGAGACTGAGATGGAAACAGCCTCAGAGGTATCAGTAGTTTTGTTGGTCATCTCCATTTGTAGAGCACTCTCTGCCCATATAGCGAGTTCTTCCAAGGGAAGACTCCCTTCAACCCCGCTGTCATAACTCCACGAGTCTGTGAGGGTAAAGACACAAGAGAAGTAATCACAAGTCTATATGGTCCACATGGGTCAGTTGCTGATATGTTTTGGCACAACTGACTTTGTAACAGAAAAATTAACAAAGGTTATATAGATGAGTCTTAAACACAACAGTTTGACACAACCTTGGGGGGGAAAAAAGTGGTCGGATATTTGAAGATTCTTTAAAACCAAAAAGGATTTAAAGTGGACTCTCTGTTCAACTGTGGAGGGAGAAATGGTTATTTCTGCAATCAGGACTTACAACACAGAGTGAAAGAACATTTTTGCAAATTGTCTTCGAGGTTAACCAACTCTCTTCATATTAGCTCACCAGACAACAATGCTGAGTACATACCTGGAGAAAAGTGCATCCCATAATCTTCCATCTTTAAAATCCCAGTGATTAAAGCAGGAAAGCTGGAATAAGTGTCTCTGCTGAAAGAGCTCCAAACCAAGCAGGATAGGAACTTAAGACTGACGGACTTAAGAGCAATTGTCCTGGGCTTTTAAGGAGGTTTGCGCTTCTTCTTTTGTTGGTTACTTTGCAAGCAGTCAGGCAGTTTCTACCAACTGGCATCATTTACATTTCTTTAAAATGCTGTTTCTCAGGGGTCCGTTCTTCGTACCTCGCTAAGTAAGTTAGCTGGATTTGATTGTTGATGATTTCGCGTGATCTTGGATCGTTCGGTTCCCCGAAGCTCATCTGGGATTTGCTGTCATAGCAACAGATCCGTAAGCGTAAACCTGCTCGGGAGCAGGCTTACTTTACGTAAACAGGATTAGATCGCGGCCACTCAGGTATGTCCGCTTCATTTATGAAAGCAACAGTAATATTTTACCACTGTTTTACCATAAATAA